TTTGATCAAACTGCATAACTCATATCCAGGGCCTTGTCGTCCATTCATCAGTTTGACTCTTTCCTTGCAGGAAAATGTACTATTTTCCATTTTCCTACGTCTCCTCGCACTCTGTATAAAAAACCCTCCGTTGAGTTTTTCTCCATCTGTCTGGCGTCGTCCATCAATTTTTTAAGTTCATCTCTTTGCTCAACAGTAAGATCATGACTCAGACCAACATGAGACAGATTATCGCTTACTGACTTCATTTTAAAAACATTTTTGAAAACGAGTTCCTTCACCTTGACATCATCAAACTTTACCAAAATTGGTCTTACCACCGTATCATTTTTCTTACCAAGTCGTACCAACTTTATTATGTTTGTTTCACCGCAGACACCACCGGTCAGATGACTGATTATCTTGCAAACCCTGTTTCTGTCGTCCGTTCCTTCACTCAGTCGAAAAACCACTATATTTGCCTCTCGTTCCTTCGATTCCATTACATTGGTTAACGTTTTTTGCACTTTTTTTACATCATCGTTTATGATTTGGACACTTTTCACAACCTCAGAACTGACCACGCTAGCAAATGATCTGGTCATTTCATTTCTAAAGTTCGAAATCTCATCACAGAGCTTTGATCCAGGGACATCCAATCCAGACATTTTGCCTTCATTTGCTTCCAATTTTACCTTGATTGCATCGATTTCTGATCTAATCTCTTTACTTAAGCTGTTTATCCTGTCACATATCTCAGCTTTTCCACTCTCAACTGTTTTGATGACCTGATCCTTTATTGATGGTGACTTCAAGCACTCATCACACACAAATTTGACATTATCACATGCCTTCAATAGTTCTAACGATTCCTCAGTCATGCCGACAGCAAACGAAATCCCACAACAAACACACTGAACATCTGTTGATTCTTTTTCACATCGTAGAGCATCGCTATTAGAATTTTTCGTAGATCTTCCTTTACCAGCCATCATCACCAGATCGAAAGTTTAATTGAAGTTTTAGTAAACGCGTTATCCAAGCCGACAAGTTGTGTAAACGTGTGATATAAATTGACAAAATTTTAGATCAGTAAACAGTATCTACTCAAACAATTCTTGAGTCCATATAGTCTATAAAATCGACACGAAAAAAAATTTTATGTATGTATGTATGTATGTATGTATGTATGTATGTATGTATGTATGTATGTACGTACGTATGTATGTATGTATGTATGTATACAATGTACCCTTCTGGGCGACGGACATCTGTGTATTCTTCCGCTTTTTATTCACACACATATACACACAAACACACACACCGATACACATAAACACATACACAAAAACGAAATTTATTTTATTAAATCTATTAATCAATCAATTAGCCAATTATTTTTATATTGTTTTCAATAAAAAAAACATTGAAATCAACTCAAATCAACTGTGACCTTAACATACAAAATATCGACCCATCTTCATCACCATCACATTCCGATTTATTTTTAATGTCGTAAAAAAATCACGAACAGTTGTTTTGCTAATATATGATATATGTGTGCGTGTGTGTGTGTGTGTCAGTGTGTGTGTGTGTGTGTGTGTGTGTGTGTGTGTGTGTGTGTGTGTGTGTGTGTGTGTGTGTGTGTGTGTGTGTGTGTGTGTGTGGTGCGTGTAATGTAATAGATAATCATCATTGATAAAATATATGTATATAATATAATATAAAAATTGATTTTTATTTAATTATTTTTCTAACTTGTTTAATTTGTTTTTGTTGGTTCCATAGTTGATGTTTTATTGTTTTTTGATAGTTCATAGTATTGCTATGTTTTTTATTTAATGATTTTGAATGGTTGTTAGTGTAATTGCTATTGCGATCATGATTCTTGATGTTTTTATTATTGATGCTATTTATTGTTGTCGGTATTGTTGTAACAGTTAATGATGTTTATGTTATTGTTTAACAGTGGTTATTGTTGTTGTGGTTGTCATTGTATGTGTTGTTGTTGCTGCTGTTTTTGATGTTGATGTTGATGTTGTTGTTGCTGTTGATGTTGTTGTTGTTGATGTTGTTTGTGTTGTTGTTGTTTTTGTTGATGTCGTTGCAATTGTTGTAGTTGTCGTCTGCACGTGTTTATGAGTGATGTAGAAAAAAATCAATTCATCATTCTCATCCACCACCACCATCATCACATTCAGCAGCAGGCGGATGAACAATTGTTATGGTGATAATAGCAATGATAATTGCTATGATTATGATAATGGTGATGACGAAAATAACAAAAACATAGGCGATTAGTATTACAATGTAAAAGTAATTTATGTGAATAACGGTATATGGGGTAGGTACCGATCAAAGGATAATTTTGTTGATCATTTAGAGTGATGATGATGACGAGGACGACGATGATGACGATCGATAATGATGAGGATGATGATGACGTCAATGATGTTAAAAACATGCTTATTGATCTAAAAACCGACTAAGGTGAATGTTTGTCACATGTGTCGTATTATCTACTTACTGTACACTCACACACACACACACACTTACACACAAAAACACACACACACACATGGTGATGCAATTATTAAGATGGTGATATCTACATTTATCAATCAATTGACGTCATTTCAACTTAAACATTCACACATATTATGCAAACACATACACATACACACACACACACCCACACACACACACACACACACACACATACACACACACATACACACGCACATGCACGAACATATTTTGATAATATCATTGAAATTATTGTTGCCCATATCATATTTATTTTAATTATAAGCATTATTATCAACACCATCATGTCTTTCCCAATTATCATAATCACCCTCATTAATATTAATGTATGTTAATGTATGTTTAATTCACGAATATGAAATCAGTTACCGAAAAAAAACATCCTGTACTTTAAAAAGCAGGCGACGAAATTAGAACTAAAAACGAACATAAAACCAAATTAGGGGAAACCATTCGGGAAACCATACGAGAGAGAGAGAGAGAGAGAGAGAGAGAGAGAGAGAGAGAGAAACAGAGGCAAACAAAGCGAAGAAATGTTATTGGACACTTGGACACTCGTACGACATGGTCATCATAATTTCTCGGGCAAATTAAATAATTATCTCAAGATGTTGCGTAGACATGTTGCAGCAACAGCAGCAATCACTAAAGTAGACACAAAACGTTTGCAACATCAATAACATTAGCAGCAAACATCATTCGTTAAAAATAACAACGTTAACAACAACCATCGCATGCTAAAAACATCAACAACATCAACAAAAAAAACAGCAATTGTAGTAACATCTGTATTAACTACACCTGTGAAAACATCTGTAACCATCACAGCAGTAGCAACACAAACAACTTCTCATTCAGCATCATCAGTGTAACATTAATTACACTAACAAAACTAATTACAATAACAAAACGTTCACCAAACTATTCATTGTTTATTTACAACAAAATTACTGATAAGAACAACACAAAACTTTTTTGATATTATTTTTAAAAATCAGATTACGAGATTTTTCAACAATTACATTTATACCCAAAAAAAAATTTATCACATGATGATTTATGATGATGCTCGTGATGATGGAAATCAATAAAATTATTAAAACATACATTTGTGATGATGACGACAGCAAAGATGGCGATGAAGGCTAACTCCAGTGATAATAATGAGAGAAAAACAATAATAACAAATTTTAAAAATTAAAAAGTTAAAATAATGTCTAATTATAAATGATGTATAAATAAATATAATATAAATATAACAAATAATAATAATAATAATAAAAATAATGTATAAATAATTATAATTATAATGATGTCTAAGAACTGTCCAATTATAAAAGCCGATGAAGAAGAAGACGATCCTAACGATAATAATAAAACCGTTGATATGATAGTCAGAAAGTCGACGATAATTGTGACGATAATGAAAAATGATGATATTTATGATGATAACAAAACCATGAATGCTGAAATCGCAGATATTTTTATGGTGTAGATAGCATTTGTAATTACCGAGCCAAAAATAAATGATAAAACGTTAAAGCAGAGAAAAACGTAGCGTGCTTTTCTGAAGTTTTTTCATCACATTTTTGCACTAAGCAAACATTAACCATAAGTGCAAGTACAATTGGATAGGTGGGTAAGTACCAGAGCACCTAATGAACTTCGGCTATGCATTCCCGGTGGCAATTAAGCATGTGTGCGTGTGTTTGTGTGAGTGTTTTTTGTGTGTGCTTCTTTGTATGTATGTATGTGTGCGTGCGTTCGTTTGTGCGTTTCGAAATCAATAGAATCCAATAAATAGAAAACCGTCAGGTACGTTGTGATCGATGATGAGGAGATCAGTTGACAAAGTAAGAATTTAAAGGAAAGGAAGGGCTCTCTATAACCAGGCAATCATAATTCTTCAGAATAAGTGATAGAATGGAGATGTCTTGATAACATTAACGTTAACATTGGCAACATTCGGAAAGTACACGTAGGTAGATATCGAAGGTGATTTGATGCTGACACACAACGCCGAAAATCGATGAAGGATAATGCGAACACGAAGCCAAATGCACAAATGAACGCGAGTGAATGATGAATGATTTGATATGCTCTGTTATGTTATTCATATGAAGCTCTGCACTCGTAGCAAGCATTACCCTTTAAATTAAACAAGCGTAAATTAATAAATAATAAATTTCTAAATAAGATTAGAAGAAAACCGTTAATAAAATGACAAACAATAACTATAGTTAATTTTACTCAAATAAATTTAAAATAATTTTCCATTAATCAGAGCACGCAGACACAAAATAGAAATCATTTTAACGATGGCCTTCTTATTGGGAGCACTTGAAAATTGAAAACGTTCTGCCTTCCTCTCGTTCATTCAAGTGCTTTCTAACTTAACGACCAAACGATGCAAAAATTATTACGAAAATAAGGAACAGAAGTATTAAAAATTTATAAAAATAATCATGATGATAAACCATGAGTGTTTAATAATCTCTTTAAATGTAACGCTTGCTGAATAAAATATTCCAGGCAATGGAAATAAATCAATACGTACCCGTAAACTGCTCAAGGGCTAAAGAACCCAATTCCTTGCATCAAACTCTCAACTAAATCAAACTCAGCGATATGGAAACATATAAAACATTTCTGACGATAAACAGTACGGTCATAAATAATAATCTTAACGACGTAAATAATAAATTATATTTAAAAATGTAACGCATATAAATCAGACGTGATCTAACATATTTTGAAAAATGAAGAAATAATTATATTTTCCAATTTAAAACGAAAAAGTTAAGAAATTTTTTGAAAGCATAACAAAACAAAAAGTGAAACGGTAGATTTGTACAGCGGAGTACAAGGAATCGTTATCATTCACTCGCTCTTTCTTCGGAATATAAATTGTACGGCGAACGTAAATAGAAAGAAAGTTAAAAAAAATTTCTGGTGGTCGTTTAAAGGATGAATGAATTATTTATGGTTGTTGTTTGAATGGTGAATGAATTGATTTCATTAACTTTCTCTTCTTACTTCATTTCGTTTGCTTTTAAACTACTCAGGGAATCCTAATAGCTCAATCGCACACTAATATTCAGAGATTCGTTCACACTTTCTCACATGACGAAAAACGAAGCGAGCAGTCAGAACTTCATTTGAAATTCAAGTTTGCGTGTTAACATTTGAATAAACTGCATTTGAACAAAACCACATTTCACTCATTCATCATTCATTCCTTCATTTGATCCGCTTTCGAAATAGTTTACTACAACCAGCATAACCATCGATCAATCAATATTCTCATTCGTCATCTCTTCAGTTCATCATCCATCAATCAATTATTATAGACATACGCACCAACGCATGTATATTTGTTTACGTACGTGTCCATCATCAGTGAAGTATATAGTTTCGATCTTCAACAGATCATTAAGCAGCCCAT